CAGTTTAGTTGGGTAATTTTTAAGGCTTCTGAATATGTGGTCAGGTCCCCAACATGGGTTCAGGCTTTTCCCTTGGGCCTTCCACTCGCTAGAGAGTCACCACACAGTATGTAGCCTGCACATGCACAGCGAACATGTAGATGAGCATTCTGTGTTCTATAACTTTTTGGCAACTTGCTGGCTTTGTATGCTATCGTGTATCAGGAGTGGGGTTTTTCAGTATTGCTCCCCGTGCTGCCGAGATAGCAAAGGCATGTCAGACATTCCCATGGCTGCACGTCTTTTCTTCCACTGCCAGAATCTGAAGTGAATCTTCCTAGCTTGGTCGAGCGGCAGAACACTGAGTGATTGCTAGCGTTATTAAAGTATCTTTGTAAAATAACTTTAGCCCTTAGTTGTATGGATTCAAACATCATGTTTCCATCCTTGAGGATCATTCTCAGCTTCTATTATGCAATGTGTTCTTTGCTGGCATCTCTCATCAGTCATGACCTCAACTCATGGTTTTGATTTGTTTTTCTCTTTCTCCTACCCAGCTACCAGTAGAAAACCCCTCAAAGTTTTAGGGAAAGCAAATTAAAGGAAAACATAGTTTTCTTCTATAATATAAACTTTTTGCTCCAAAGAATAAGAATACATCTTATTATGGACGGTAACATGAGGTCTCCACACTCTTTCTTCTAAATATGTCCCAAAAGAAACAACAAGCTGTATTTTATCTTGTGTTATAATTCTTCAGAACTAATTTATAGCTCCTTGAGGTATACTTTGCAAAATTTCACCTGGCAAGCGACACTTTTCTTTCATCATCGTTGTGGGTTTGTGTTATTCTCCCTCTGAACACAAACACACAAAGAAAATAGGGACTGACAAGGAAGGAAAAATATTTAGTGAAGACCCATGGACAGGAACAGAAGGAGGAAAAGAGGAAGCAAGCCCGAGAAGCTCATCAAGTGCGTTAGAAAACACCTGGTCCAGATTACCGGTTTCTTACTTAATTAGACACACACAACCCTGGAGTTTAAACATAACACTCAAAATTCGTCAACCACCCACAGCAATTCTCGAGGTGTCTGTGATTATGTAATACCCTAAAAGTCATCTGGACTGTGTCAACTCTCAGAAGTACTGGTAGATGGCTTTTAAAAGTCCTCTACAGACATTAACTTACATGTCAGGTCTCAGTTTAGTATTTAGCAAAACATAAACAAATAAGTGATTTTAATAAATAAAAAATCAGTGGTTTCCTTGGCGCCTGAAGTTTCTGCCTTAAGTAGTAAAAAGTAGGCTTTATGCATTCAGTAAAGCTTCACTGACTAGACTTCTCGAATTCAGATGTTATAGGACTTAGGATGGGAGAAATAATGTTTACTTTTCTATTACCAGGGAAAAGAAGAGGCCCAGATCACAAAAGTAAAGGAAAAGGGAGAATGACTGTCTTCTCAATTGCTTAGCATGTGTTAAAATTGTTCCCTAAAATCAAATTTGAAAAAAATAAAGGTCTCCTGGTGGCCACTTAAATTTTCAGCTTTAAATGAGTTACATTACAAGTTACTTTTTATAGTTGCCTGATACATTTTTGCTGATTAGCAACTTGATAGCTCTTAGGCTTGGACAACTGAACAATATTTGGGGGTGAAAAAGGATATGACTTGAAGGGGACTCCTTTGAGAACCCAGTCGGGAGCTTCAGCCCAAACAGAGTGGATGTTGCTTTTCTTATACAATTATTTTAATTAAAAATGCATGTGTAGCAGGAAAGGGAAAACTGTTGTAGACACTACTCCTTATAGTGTGAAATTTGAAAGCTTCTCATTTGTCTTCTCAAAATTTTAAAATTTATTCCTGGATCCTAGATGTTTTATTCCTATTCTCATAGGAATGTCCTCTGTAAAAATTACAGGTCTTTTACACCCAGGGACACATGTTGAAGTCCAAACTACACTGACGTCTCATGTAATTTGGAGTTATTCTTTTGAATTTTTTTAATGTTTATTTTCATTAGTACATGTTTGGAGTACATAATGATCACATTCATTGTGAAGAGTTGGTGTACACACACAACGCATGTTAATTCTTTTTATGTCTCCTTTCCTTCCACCTCTTGATCCCGTTCCCATTTGCAGAAGACCTACCTCCCTGTCATTCTCAGTGTTTCTCTTTATGTCTCCCTGTCTAGCCCTGGTTCACCTAAGCAGGGAACTGATGTCCACCAGCATCTACATAGACTAAAGCATACAACTTGTTGTCATCCTTGATTAGAGGTAGCATCTTTATTTTATTCAAAATAAAAAAGTTGTTTCGTTATAAAAATGGAAATTACTCATTGTGGAAAATTCAGACTAGCAGAAAAGTGGGAAGAAAATAAGAAACCATCCCTGCAGTTTTACCATCAGGAGATGACCATTGTTTGCATTTTGGTATGTGTCCATTCAGCACTTCCATGCACTCTAACAGTGACTAGATTAAATTTGATTGAGTGGAACCCATTTAAATGCACTGATGCATTTAACCCCTTTAGAAGTAGAATTGCTGTTCTTTAACCTGCCTTTCTGATTAAATAACGTTTTATTTTTCTGTGCCAGTAAATAGATTTTTAAAACAGTTGCATAGTGTCCTCTTTATGGCTACATCATAGTTCACTTATGTCTCCTTTTAACACATCATCTAGATTTTTCCTGTCTTTTTTCTATTATAATAAATGTTTTGAAGAATAGATTTGTGCAGACATTTTGTATTACTTTTGTCTCATTAGATTTAAGCTTTGGAATTGTATCATTTAGATTTAATTCACCATCTAGAACATGTTTTTTTTATATAGCAGGAGCTTTCCCTCTTTTCTCATATGGCCAGTCAACAATTGCAATACTCCTTAATGGAAAATGCTTGTTTGCCTCACTGATTTAAAATTGCTGTTACCAAATATTTATTTTGCATACACATGGTTCTCTCCTATTCCTGTGCCAATGTTGTGCTGTCGCCATTGCCATAGTAAGTTCCCGGGTGTGGGTTTTAGACTTAAAACCTGGAACCTCCAACTCCTGAAGCCATGTGCCTGTCACGTGCTGGGGTAAAAGCTCGCCCTCAGCTGTTCTGCACATCGTGTACCTCAGTGACATTGCTCTGCAGCATGAAACAGAACCCTCTGTCAGCCAGCCCTGCTTTGCAGTGCAGTAAGTGCTCTATAAATATTTGTTTTAAGAACTGGCACTCAATAGAGTTAGCTCAAGAAGAGGGCTAATTATAAATCTATCAGACTTCAACAGCATAATGGTAGCAAGTTTTTTACTGCTCTAGTTTTAGATATGAGGATATAATAAATAATCACCTGTTTCCCAGCTTGAATTGCCAACTAATTTAGAAGATAAAGGATTAAGAAAGATGGCAGACAGAACCGTGCCTTCACTTCTGATAAAGCTGATGTTGGGGCAGGTGGCTTCTATCTGCAGGCAGGTGGGCTTGTGAATAGTGCACCTGAACACTAGGTAGTCAGACATATATCTCAGTAGCTGTGCTGGAGCTTTGCAGGTCACTGCCATGGGCACTCGTCTCCTTTACAGAAGCAAAGAGCCAGCGAGGACACTTGCTTTCTGTGGGAAGGCCAGATCCTAAGAGGAAGAGGGGTCCGTTTGGCAACCTCAGTTTCTTCTTTCAGGTCTACCCTGCTATGGAGGGGAAGGTGAAGTACGAGAAGTAAGGCGTGTTGACATTAATGAGTACCCTGCGTGTGGAAAGAAATAGCCAAGAGGGGTGTACAGGTTCTCCCTAAGCCTTTGCAGGAGGTCCTACCCCACTTTAGTCAGCTGCGCTGATAGAGTATTGATAGGGTATTGATCACATGGTTTAAGTACAGGTACCTTACACATCTTCATTCTTTCTCATCCTCTTTCCCTCCCCTCCCTGTGGATTTATCTGACATATTTCATAAACATTTATTGAGCGCCTAGTGTGTTCGTGTGCTCAGTGTCTGAAATGCTTCTTGTGGATTTCCTGAATCAGCTTTTAGGGGAAGGGAGGGACCCATTAGATGTGTCATCCCATCCACCCGGGTGAACAAGGTTTGGTAACAAGAACTGTGCTGTTTGAGCAGGAGCTGACTTCCTTTCACCCTGAGCTCCAGGGCTCACTGCAGTGGGGCCAGTGTCTGCCGGGCTGAGGGCATGAATGAGAACTCCTCTGCCTATGAGTTCTGGCACTCCAGGCCTGCATCTACTGGGAGGAAGGACACCTATCTGAAATGCTCTCAAAGATTGCATGGACTAGCAGTATGACCCTGACTGAGATTCATTACTTCACCTGGCTCTACTGTTTTAGTTACTCCTGACATTTTCTTCAACATATTTTCAGTGGAAAAATCAATGGACTCTTCATACTTACCCAATACTTTATCTGTTCATCCATTGACAGATACTTATGGGGTTCTTCTTTTTTGCGTATTTCAGCTATTGTGAATAGAGCTGCATTAAACATTGGATTGTGCATAGCTGCTCAAGATTTTTGCTTACTTTGACTGTATATCCAGAAGTGGGATTGCCGCACCATGTTTCAGTTGTATTTTTAAAACAGTTTTGAGAAACACCCATGCTTTTTCCACAATGGCTGTACCAATTTACATTCCCAGCAACAATAAATAAGGGTTCCTTTTGTCCACATCCTCAAGGGCAGTTATTATATTTTGACTTGATAATAGCCATCCTAACAGGTATAAAGTGATACTACATTGTGGTTTTGATTTGCATTTTTCTGTTGATCACTGATGCTAAGCATTTTTCCTCTATGCTTTGGACATTGGTATCTCTTCTTTGGAAAATGTCTATTCAAGCCCTTGGCCTATTTTTCTAATGGGAAAACAACTTGAAATAAGGGAAAATATTTTGCACACCACGATAAAGGGTTAAAATCCAAAATATATAAGGGATTTATACAAGTCAATAGCAGATAACCTAAATATAATCTGATTAAAGATAGGCAAAAGATGTACTTTTTCTTTTCTTTTTTAAGGTATCATACCTTCTGGAAGGGGGCAGTATGGCTCATGAAGACTTCTGTGGACATTTTGGTACAATGCACCCAGGAGATCTGCAGGTATGGCCAAGGGCAAGGTGTTGCTGCTGGTTTAGTAGTCTTTGAGTATTGCTTGACACTGCCCGTTTCCAGCATGGTCACTTTCCCTTTCTGTGACATCTCTGATGTCTGCCTACCTGTGCATCTTTTCACTCTGCCTGGAAGCCTGCACAGCTCTCTGGTATTCCCCTCTCATGCTTTGACTCCTCAATCACTTTTTACTTTCCACCTAGCCTTTTTCTTACCATTTCTCAAGAGTAATCAAGAGTGAGTGTTTCAACTTCCTTTTCTCCCATTTTCTTCCTCAACTCAGCGGAATTACAGTTGGTCTCTCAGCACCTCCCTTCTATAACTTTGAAGCTGTTTAGGCAACAGTCACTTGTGATTTCCTAATTCCCACATTCAGTGACTCTTCCAGCCCACATCTTCCACACCTTGCTGCTGCATCTGAGACAATTTACTATTGGTCTTGCAACTCATTTGCAGGGTTAGGTGTTGTCACTTAAGACAGTGACCCAAACTCCTGCACCATCCTGCCTTGTTTGAGATGTTATAATTAATTATGCTTAAAATCCCCAGGAAATGCCTGGACCATCACTGTCCGTTTTGTAAGTCTGAACGCTGTATCGTGCATTTTCTGAAAGCATTTATACATTTTATGAGACGATAAATACAAATATTTGAATCACCGCATTTCAGTGAAATTTAAAGACAGAAAAGCAAAAGGACAAACAATCATAGTGAAAAGCCAACAGCAAACTCTCACTGGAGCAGAACATAAATTGCAGACTCTCTGGAAAGGTGTCTATGCTGAGTGAATGTGTCTTGATCATGGAAGTGGTGACTTCTGCCATCTGCACCATCAGGTTGAGCCTTCAGCTGCATGTTTCAGGTGCTGGCCAACTTTTCTTCCACCATTATAACTGCATATTTGGTTAGAACACGATTGTATAGTGTTTTTCAGTTTATTCAGCATTTTAGTATACATGATTTCTTTGAGATAATAATTATTTTTATCTCAGTTTTTAAATGAGGGAATAGGGATTTAAACGTATTAAAAAATAATAAGATGCTCCTGGCCATTTTAAAGATGGAAAGAGAACCCTGTCCTCCCTCACACCCCTGCTAATCCAGTAGGTTGCCTATTTTTAAAAAGGCAATGCCAAAACAAATTATATACACAAAGGTTAACCAAGATACTGAAAATGTGGAGAGAGAACTGTTGCTGGAACGAGAAAGTACACAAAATGGGAGAATGTCTTTAAGGAAGGCCATTAGCTGTAGTCAGAAAAAAATTCAGATCTCTACATTAGAAGGTTTGATCAGCCTTGTGAAATAGAGGATACAGAGAAATCTACTTAGATTAATGAAGGAAGAAACATCTAAAATAGGTACTGGTATTCTTTCATGTCCTTGAACAAATAATGTTCATTCTTGTCTGAGTCTTTTTCACATATGGTTGCTTCCTTTATACGGAAAAACTGCTTACTCTTTCACTAGGCAGTTCTTACTCTGTCTAGATCTCAGCCTGAAATTTGTGCCCCCGGGTAAGCTCCTTTGGACTAGGCAGGCCATTTCATGTTCTCTTGTGGAACCTTGTCATTTTCACAATGCCAAGCACAACTGTAATGTCAATATTTATTTTGTGCAGTTGATTCTTTAAGGGTTTTTTGCCCCATAAGTGCTAGGTGGAAGATAATACTGATGACCTGCCTCATTGCCCATTGTCCAGCCTCTGAGTTCAGGTCATGACAGTTCCCCTATGTGTCCATAACACCCCGTCTCCAGTGCTTCTGGTTTCCCTAAGGGGTTTCTCCAGCCCATGCATGGGGCAATGCAGGTGTGCCAGGGATTTAGCATCCCCATGGTCACTCCTAGTCATCAAGTAATGGGAATCAGAATCAAAATGCACTAGCTTCCCCTCTCCTGCATGCAGTATTTCTTCCATGTATCTACATGGTTCTCAGTGGGCTTGAGCCCCAGGTGTCCACAGATGTGAGCTGCTTATTAGCATCCCCCTTCTGCTTTCTTCCTTGCTTGTTTCATTCTTCCATACTCCCTCATTTAGGCTTCTGCATCACTTTGCCAATGAAGTACCTGCAGATAGGTCCTTATCCTTGTGTCTACGGCAGAACACCAACTAAGAAAGCAGGAAATGTACCTATCATGTTCCATGATTGTGAGGTTAATGTTTGGAGCTGACCCCTAATGTCCCTTAATAAAGAAATAAACACTTGAAGAACCTGATCAGCTGTGGAGGAAATAACTATTTATCCAGGTAGTGAGGACTCCACCAGTGGAACTAAGCATCCAGAGGCACAAGTTAGCCACCTACGGTGTGCTAGGTACTGAGGGCTTTACATGTATATTTAGACCCACACATATATCCTGCAGCTTCTGGAGATACTGGCTGCTGATGGCTCTGTGCTGCATTTCTTCTTGGGAATGTCCCACTTTGGCAGGAAGTTGCTGTTTTTAACGTGGTGCCTCCTACTCAGGGATGAGGATAGAAAAGCTTGGCCACCTTGCCGCAACTTGGGACAGTCTAAAGGATCACCCCGATTCCAGAGCTCCCTGCTGAGCTGGCTTAGGCCTTGTTGTAGCCGCATTGCTAGTTGGCTTCTCCCTTTGCCCAAGACTGCTTTCTTCACTTCCTACATTGTATCTCCCCAGAACACACCCCAGTGTACTATATGCCTGCAACCTCCCATCTCAGAGTTCAGTCTAAGACTCAGGGATATCACAGAGAGAATTCTTCCATTTGCAAGAATTCCAGTTCTGAGGCTTTGATTTCAAATGAAGAAGGATGAGAAGCGTTTGAAAAACTGGAAATCACGACAGCAGTTGTCATTGATATTTGTTACGTCTCACAATTCCCAAAGGCTCTGACAGCAGCACCTATGAGACGTCTCCCTTAGCGGTGATGTTGTAATTGTCTCACTTGCAGACCTGTTAGGGCCTGGTTACATTCTCCTTCTTCTTGGTTTGGTGTTTGCAGTGGATGACTGCGGGCCGGGGCATTCTGCATGCTGAGATGCCTTGCTCAGAGGAGCCGGCCCATGGCCTACAACTCTGGGTTAATTTGAGAAGTTCAGAGAAGATGGTGGAGCCTCAGTACCAGGAACTGAAAAGCGACGAAATCCCTAAACCCAGTAAGGATGGCGTGACAGTTGCTGTCATTTCTGGAGAAGCTCTGGGAATAAAGGTAAGCTGCACTGCTGTGTGCTAGAAGGCAGGAGGTGTGCAGTGACACAGGCTGGCCCTGTCTGTGACAGCTCTCACTAGGTTTCCCATAGTTTTTGTCTCAAGGGATGGACTTGCTTCATAGGTATCAGCCTATGAAGAAACCTAAGGCAACTCCGAATCTTTTTGCTTCATCCAAATGCATAGAGTTAGGAAGATTACAAGAAAACATGCTTATGTAAAGAATTTGGTTGAAAAGCAATTTTCATGGTATTTCTTTATATATGTGCAAATTTACCCCAATTCTTTTCACTTTTAGTACAATTCTGTTATTTGAGTTATAATTCCTCAGTCTTGCAAAATTACCACCTTTAAGAAACAAACAAAGGTACCAAGACCAACTCCATTCTATAAAGATTTATGTAAGTTATTTACACCCCATTTAGTAAGGAAAGAGCACTGCTACATTATAGAAAGGTTATTTTTAAAATTAACTTCACCATTTATCCCATACGTGAGTTGTCTTATATATTCTTCTCAATGGGAACTTATACTATTTAGGTTTAGGCTCTTACATTTTTTAATCAAATAAAATCATTTTAGGCTGAAAAGTGTGTGTATATTTGTGGAAGGAAAAGGGCGTGGCAAACACTGCTGTGTTATTTACACACCAGAACCAGTTGCTGTGGAAGTTAAGATTCTTCACACTGGTCAGTTTGAAAGACTGGCAAGCTGGGTAGCAAGCTTTCGGGTGGAGTTTCTCAGAAGCACACCCTGACATCCGGGTACCTGTAAGAGTGATTGTCAAGGAAGTGCTCCTAAGGGGCACAGTAAAAGGAACCAGGATAATTTGGAGGAGGAGGTGAAGCAAGGATACTATCTCAGGCAAAGTCTTAAAGAGGGTGGCTTTAACCTTATCCTGCTGGAGACTCTGCAGGATCAATATTCTTCAGAGTTGTTCTGACCAACCTCAGGCAAGGGACCCAGGTTTTCATTCTCCCTTCCTCAACAATCATTGGTTATGGCCATTGACTTTGGGGTAGAAGGCACAGAAATGGTTAAAAGTGATCTGTATAGATCTATAAGGGGCCAGGACACATGGCATCTGGCAGTGAGAGCATCAGGGTATTGGGATCTACTTTCTCATTCTCACAGTGGGCAACCAACACTTATATAACTGTTAATTTTTTATGGGCAACCATGAGAATAATGGCTTGGCAATGGCCACTAACTGGCAACTCAGTGAAATTCATTACATGGTTAACAGATTGGTTATGGTTATTGGTTGAGACTTACTGGTTTTTCTTTATCTTGCCTTGGAACCACAATTCTTTATGTATGCCACACATAGGTGTATGCTTATTTTCTGTGTTTCCAGAGTACACAGAAATAATTGAAGAAAAGTACAGAGAGAAGTTTGCTCCTTAGTAAGCATATCTGAGTATAGTCCACCCCACCCCTACAGGTATTGCTTACTTTGCAGTTGGAAGTGACCTTTCTTTGTGTTTCTGTGACCTCTTTCTCTTTTGCCAAGCATTGAGCAGTGCCCTTTTCACCTTTTTGTGAAGGTTTCCCCACTTCAGTCTTCAGAAGACAGATAAGATCTTGTGAGGGCTTCTGGCTCAAGGCTAAAGGACATGACTGGGTATAGTGTCGGGCACAGAGGCCTAAGGGAATTTGAATTAATGCAGATGGGAAGCCGTTCACTGTCTCACCTGGTGCTTACAGGACTCCAGGGTTCTAAGGCCATGCCAGCAGCAACTACGGAGGTGGTTGGTAGAAAGTGGAAGTCTCCCCCATCCAATTCAACGAAAGCACACAACTTTGGTCGTGTATATTGGAATTTTATGTAAGACTCCATCTAGAAAATGAGTTGATCTGTGTGTAACTAATAAAAGAAACCATGCCAGTGATTTAGTAGATAAGTAAAGCCAGGAATATCATGAATCCTTAGAGTTTACAACTGCTTTTCATTTATAGAAAACACGAGGCAATTTTAAGGTTGAAGCTGGTTCCAATTATAAGCAGAAGGACATTTTAAAGTTCTTCCAAGCAGCAGACCATGTGGTGTTGCTATTGCAACCAAGGATTAGAGACCAGAGGTAATGTTTAACTTTGTAAAACAGTCTTGGTAGCTGCTGACCTCTATTATTTCTTTTTGTTGAGTAAAATCTCTAAAATGAATTATAGTCTCCTAAGTAATCAGTCTTTATTTTGAGAACATTTTAATGATAAGAGCCTCTTGAAAACAGAATTGTCAATAGTTATTTGCAGTAAGCATTGTTAATGCTTTTCCCTTTTCACCCATTTTTCATTGTGAAATACGCATAACATAAAACTTGCCATCTTAAAAAAAAAATCTCTTGGAAACTTGTGCACCATTAACCTGGATTTCCAGAAGCAGTGTGGGTCAGTGGTTACTTACATGGACTTTGGTGACAGACTGGGTTAAAATCCTTATCATGAATTAGCTGTGTGATGTTGAACAAACCATCTAACTTCTCTGTACCTCAGCTTCCAATCCATAAAATAGGGTTCCTATGAGGATTAAGTGGTTTCTTATTCATTCACCTCTCAGAATAGCACCAGACACATGGTAAAGATCACATAAGTGGTAGCTGTCATTACTTTTGCTTTAATTACTTTGTGTTAACGCGGGCAGTAGCTGGACTGAGATTGATGTTTGCCATCTGTGCTGAAAGGATTCGGTGAAATTTGAGGAACCTGCTGCTAACCTCCTCCGAAGAAAGGACACCAGTGTAGTCATTGTAAAGACAAGGATTGTGGCCATTTCTTGTAAGTCTGATAACAAACATAGTTTTGTACATCTGAGGCCTTTGTATCTGCTCACCAAGCAGTGAAAGATTGTTTTGCATCAGCAAGGTAACTTTTTGTCTTCTATGAGACAGGGTCTTTATGTAGCTCAGTCTGGCCCTCAACTCATGATTCTCCTGCCTTAGCTTCCGAAGTGCTGAGGTTGCAGTCATGTGCTACCATGCCCAATGCTTCAGGAAGATCATTTTAAAATAAATGACAGGATGAGGCTGAGACTATACTTTCCAAGAGACTGATGTATTTATAGCTAGTATAGAATCAATAACAACTCCACTCCCTGCAAGTAAAATATCTTGAAAATAGAATTAGTGAGTATTGCAGCACTCTTCAGACTTTAATATTCATATGAATTGATTGCTTGGGGCTTTTGACAACATGCAGATTCTGGTACAGCAAGCCTGTGGCCGGGTCTGAGAGTGTGCATTTCTAACAGGCTCCTGGGTCATGCCAGTGCTGTGGTCAGGGCACGTCAGTCTGAGACAGAGGAGGTTACCCGTCTTGAGGAAGTTTGATTAGGCTCCTATGGAAAATGTTAAGCAATCCAGTTCTGGGACTTTGGAAAATCTATTTAACCTTTCTGGGCTCTAGTTTCTACATCCACAGAAAAGGTGAAGAGGGTTTGGGCAAGTTGCTGTAGCTTTTACAAACAACAAAACTGTCCGTTTGGTATTTCCAAAGATAGATGTATCCTTGTTTCCCAGGTTGTGTGTGTCTAAGCATTTATTTAGCCCTTGGAAAGTCACAGCCAATTTTGAGCAAGATTCTGCCAGGACAGTGCAGTCTCAAGTGACGGCTTCGAGGGGGAGAAATGATAAAAATGGGATAGTTTGAATAGTTTCTGTCACTTCTAGAAGGTCACAATCACATGTTTATTTCATGAAAGTATGCAGTTCTCCAACCCCATTCCATCCTTATCAGCGAGCCAATCAGCTTTATTTATTGCCAGATCTCTTTGGAACACAATTCTTTTCCCAAAGAATGCCTCTACTGGCCTCCTGCTGCTCTAAATTCCATTGTGTCAGAAGCAAACCTTGAGGAGGCCTCAGCCCCACTGGGGTCAGGACATGGCAGTCCAGAGCCAGATGGCCTGGGTTTGAGGCCAGCTTCGCTGCCGGCTCACTTTGGGTAATGCACTTAAGCTTGCTGCACCTTGGTTGTTTTTTTTTTTAATTTGTGAAATGGAGATAACTATAGTGACCTAGCTCAGGGAGTCTTTGAGAGGATTAAATTGATTGATACTTATATGTGAATTAGAGCAGTGCTTGGCTCAGAGTAAGCTCTGTATAAGCAGATGCTATTTTTACTTCCTTCCAAAGCTTTGGGCAGTGTTCATGTAGTCTATAGACATAACAGGAAGAAGCTTCTTTCTGATAGGCAGACACATGTCTGCTCATGTATTGGATGATAACAAAAGTTTTAAAACCTCAGTTTCCAAGGGAGATTGCTAAGCATCTCATTTAATTTGCTCAGATCATTTTTGTGTTCCTATGTAGTTTTCTACTGAGGGAGAAATTTGATTGCTTAGATTCTAGCTGACACAGTTGAGATGGAACTCCTCCCTGCCCCGTCTCCCTGAGCTTGCTTATTTCCCCTGGGGTGAACAGAGCTGCCCTCCACAGAAGACTGCTCTTTCCTTCCCAAACTCAGAAGAACCATTTTGCAAAGGAGCATTTAAAAACAAGTACATCCTGAAAACAGGTAGTAAATGCTCACACTTTTTTTTTTTGTTTTGCCTTTCAAGTATTCCAACAAGTTCATGGGGTTAGTTTGAAAAATGTGACAGATATTTTCTCAATGGCAGAGTTTGACTGCGGCTTTGGGTTTCTGACAAAGGGAATTTGAGAGAATGGGCTCCAGCTGTCCCAGAAAACAAGCAAAGGGAAAACAGTGCTTTTTTGGGAAGGAATCCTCCCTTCCAAAGCACTCTCTGTTAATTGATTTTATTTATAAACCAGAGTACTCTGTGATAGGTCAGGAAACCTCCGGATATAGGTCTGTGCTGTGGATACTTAAGCATTCACTTGGGATGCAGGTGACAGGGATAAGGATGAACTTGAAGCTTTTCTCTGCATGTCCTTTTGGTTTTAAGTTTAAAAGATGGAAAATGTATTTAGGACATCATGTTAGATCACAGAAGGAAAAAGTCTTGAAGTCAGAAATAGGCAGAAGCACACACAGAACCTTCGC